TTTTTCCAGAAAATTCCTTGCATGTTCAAGGAATTACATGTTCAGATATCCCTTCCCTACCTCTTGTGGTGGGTTGACCTTGGCTGGATGCCAGATGCCCACCAAAGTAACTTTATAACTCCCCTCCTCAGATCAACGGGGGAGAAAAAATACAAAGAAAGGTTCCTGATCAAGGTAAGGGCAGGGAGAGATCACTCACCAGTTACCATCACAGGCAAAACAGACTTGACTTGGGGAAAATTAATTTATTGCCAGTCAAATATGAGTAGGATAAAGAGAAATAAAGCCAAATCTTAAAACGCCTCCCTCCCCCAACCCCTTCCCCCTCCTAGACATAACTTTACTCTTGATTTTCTCTACTTCCTTGTTCCAGCATCACAGGGGGACAGGGAAAGGGGTTGTAATCAGTTCAATCACCCATAGTGTCTCCAGCTCCTTCCTCCTTAAGGGGAGGACTCCTCACACTCTTTCCCTGCTCCAGCATAGGGATCCTCCCATGGGAGACAGTCTTCCATGAACCTTGTCCAACGTGGGTCCTTCCCATGGGCCGCAGTTCTTCACGAACTGCTCCAGCATGAGTCCCTTCCACAGGGTGCAGCCCTTCAGGAACAGATGGCTTCAGTGTGGGTCCCCTGCAGGGTCAGAAGTCCTACCAGCAAACCTGCTACAGAATGGAGTCCTCACTCCACGGGTCTGCAAGTCCTGCCAGAAGCCTGCTCCAGTGCAGGCTTCCCACGGGATCCCAACCACCTTCAGGCATCTCTCCATGGGCTGCAGGTGTACATCTGCTCCACCATGGACCTCCATGGGTTGCCTCACCCAGGTCTTCACCATGGGCTGCAGGGGAATCTCTACTCTGAAGCATAAAGCACTTCCTCCCCCTCCCTCTTCACCAACCTTGGTGTCTGCAGTGTTGCTTCTCTCACATGTTCTCACTCCACTCTTTTCTGGCTGTAACTGCCCTTGCACAATAACTTTGCCGCTTCTTAAATCTGTTATCCCAGAGATGTTACCACCATCGCTGATGGACTTGGCCTTGGCCAGCAGCAGGTCCATCTTCAAGCCAACTGGTACTGACTCTATCAGACACAGAGGAAGCTTTTAGCAGCTTCTCATAGAAGACATCCCTGTAGCACCCTTGCTACCAAAACCTTGCCACACGAACCCAACTCACCTCTTAACCGAAAAGGTGGATTAGTCTCATTCCTGTAACAATGCTATTTTTGCCAAGCAAGGTGGTTAGCCTTTTACTCAGACTTGTCTTTGGGGATATGACTAGCAACCATACTAACACACAGGAAGATTTGTGCTTAAGGTTCACATATAAAGCACAACAGACTATTATATAATGAGAAAAAAACCAAACCAAAACAAAACAAATCAACAAACATTCACCTCATAAATGCAGTAACTGTCTCTAAGTTACTGTTTCTAAGCTTTTGCTTTTCTTAAGGGTCTCAGAATATTCAAATTTAGTTAAGAGAAGCTTCTGTTTTTGATTCCTGTACCTTATTTACAGCTCCAACTAAATTTAGGCCCTCTCCTTTTATTGATGAATGTTAATTTTTTTTTTTTCAATCCCAAACCATCAGGGTACCTGCCCCAGTTTGAGAGCAGTCTGGCTGCCATCCAAAAAGCTGGTCTGCATTACTGCCCATTATGCTAGTTTTGTCTCAGGGTGCATATCAGATCAGCCATGCATTAGACAAACACAAGCAAGAGAGCATGAGAGATCATCTGCCAATGCAGCAGCTACAGCTGAGCAGCCGTCACGCTGAAAACACTGCAGCTTTTTAGAGACTTGCTCATTGGCACAGAACCCCATCTTTCTAATCTATTCATGCTGCCTTTCTCTCTTTTTTTTCTTTCCCCTTACAATTCTAGCAGGTATCTTCCTCAGCCTCATTTAAACCTGTTGCCTTTCATTTTATGGTTGACTTATAAGTAGAGTTTGTTGTTGCTGGAAAGGCAGCCACCCTAGTAGGCTACCACCAGACTAGTAATTGGTGATACCACAAGTGTCACAGTGCTTTATTAATCTTCCTTTAGGATTCAGTGCAAGGGTAATTACAGGACATGAAGAATGGGCATTTAAAAGAGCTCTAATACTAGGACAGAGATAATTTCCTGAGTAGTGGGACATTTTCTTTCTCCTCTGGAGCGAACGATAGAAGTCTGAAAAGAGCACAGCTTAGACTGCTTCAGGGCTCATCGACTCAGTTCTGTGGCTCCTGGAACTGTGAATTTGGAAAGAATGGGTAGCTGAGGAGAATAAAAATGGGCATAAATTTGAAGTGACTGTTAGAGAGCTAGGAATGACAGTCCTGGAAGACAAAAATGCATATTTTTGCCATAGGTCTGTATGAGAAGATCAGTGAACTTCCTGAAAGATTAATGGGATGTATAGAAGCAAAATGTTCACTAATGAGCACTTTTTTATTTTATTTCTTTTGCAGGAAAAGGTGATGTCTGTTTGCTTTTACCTTTTGAAGGTAAACACAGGGAGTGCTTTTAATCATCGGGGAAAGTTCTCGTCAGAGATAACTTCTTTGTGTCTGTGATTTCTCTTTATTATGACATTTAAGGAAAAGGTGGTGCAAAGACTGTCATAGTGAATCAAAGGAGCAGGCATTTCAGACTAAGTGAACTGAAAATCCTGTACCTACTTCTGCAAGGATAGCAAAAACGCTGCTGCGGGTGCATGTGAAGGCACAATACCTGTGACACAACTAAGTGATAGCTCAAAAAAAAAGCAAGCAAACAAGCAAGCAAAAGGCTGTGGAAACTTGTTCCACAATGTGTGAAGTTGTTTATCTTGTCAGGACCTTTTCTGACAGAAAGGCACATGACCATCACTTGGGCTGAGCATGGGAAGAAGTACAAAGGAGGAAGTTACAAGATGCTTTACATAATGGCCATTTTTTTTCTTTTCCAGTATGTAACAACTCAAGACAAAGAAAAATTTTATCAAGTTTGCAATGTTTTGGTGGGGATGGACTCCACTGATTGCATAGGGGCTCTGGTGGCACAGGCAGCAGGTGTGCCAGGAACAGCTCTCATAACTGGAATTACATTTACTGTTTCCATACAAACCCAGTTTAATTTTTATTCATTGCTTTCACCTTTCATGTTTTGTCAAGTGTGTGCAGTATTGAAGTATTGCAATATTATTAAGCTCTGTTTATGTGACAGCTACCTTAGCACACTGTTAGCCTTTAAAATGACTGTTAGAACACCTAACCTCTATCCAGTGCTAGTGATTCCTTTTTCCTGCTTAGCTTTGTGTAAAATATAATTTCAATCATAGAGTCACAGAATCACATAGGTTGGAAAAGACCCTTAAGATCAAATGAAACACTACCAAGTCTACCACTAAATGATGTCCCTAAGTGCTACATCTACACTTCTTTTATACATCTTCAGGGATGGTGGTTCAACCACTTCCCTGAGAAGCCTGTTCTAATGTATGGTAACCCCCTCAGTGTATAAATTTTTCCTAATATTCAATCTCACTCTCCTCTGATGCGACTTGAGGCCGTTGCCTCTCATCCTGTCATTATGTGCCAGAAAATACATTTTGTGTTAGAAAATATCAGGCAACCCTATCACCACCCAGGAAGTTATTCACATGCCAGTGATTGGTCAATACTTCAATAAAGATAGTTAAGTTCTTGTTGTACTCAAGTTTTTATTGCACTTGTACTGAGCACAAAGGTCGGGCTGAGTGTAGTGTGAATACATAATGTCAGCGTAGTTTCACAATCCATTTTCTTCAGCCTTAGCATGGCTGGTTTAGCTCTCTATCCCACACTGATCCTACACCCCACAGCACCACCTCATCAGCTGTGGGAACACCATAATTTCTGAGGCTGTAACAGTGAGGTGCTTTCTTCAGCATCTAGTGCTGGCTTGTGATCTCCCCTCCCATTGCTGCTCATTCCTCCCCATACAGCAAACTGTGAAGTCTCCTCAGTTTTGCAAATATGGATGGTAGGTGAGAAAAATTCTGGGACAGGAAATAAAGGCAAGGGAACAGCTGACCTTTTTCCAAGAGAGGTATGAGAAACGGTAAGAGTAATAGCTCTGTTTCCTCCTGTCTCCTTGAAAGCCTGAGATGTGTGGGTGTCAAGGATCCCTCAAGGTGCCTCCAGTTTAGGTCTAGAAGAAGTGTTATTTGTAGAATATATGACAAGGGCTTAAAAGATTGCTTCATCCTCCTCACAGCTGGGGTGATGTGTAGCAGAAGAGGTTTCTACTGTGTCCATCTACTCATCTGGCCCAAGGTGGCCTCGAGTCTGAAGCGTTAAGGTGCAGAATCACCTGGCACAGGGACACTGGATAGGAGACATAGAAACAGGAGGGTGGAAAAAGTTGCAGTCTCCATTCTGCTTTTGCAGCACTTCAATTTTTTGACGTGCATACACATTTGCAAGAATAGAATAAAGCCTCTCAGCATAAATTAGGATTCCTCTACATGTATTAATTCAGAGTACTGTTTCTGAAACTTTCCACAGGGTAAACGCTTTGTGTTTTTTGTTTTTTTTTTTTTTAAATGGGGAGAGAGCACAAGTCCCAACATGACGAGGCAGAGGAGGACGATACTTTTCCAGCGGCTAGGGCTGACAGATATGGCACAGCACCCGCACTTAGAACACATCATAACAAAGTCAGGGCGGGCATCGTAGAAGGCATCCGTGTTTATCACTTCGACCAGTGGCCAGCGCCAAACCCCAGCCCCCAGCCGCATCCGCCGCTCCGCAGGCCCCAACTCCTCCTCCTCTTCCCGCGGCGCCTCTCAGGCGCTGCCCGACAGCGACCTCCGCACCGCCCCCTCGCTCCTGGCATCCCGCCCCTTCCCGGCCGGGCGCAGGCGCCGCCGCGAGGCAGGGCGGAGGCGAGCGGGGCGCGGTGGGGCAAGAGGAGCCGGGGTAGCCTCTGCTCGGTTCCTCCCCCCCCTCCTCCTTCCCCCCCGAGCCCCTTCCCCAAGCCGCCACCGGGCGCCATGCCGGTGGTGCCGCCGCTGCTCCTGGCGCTCACAGCGCTGCTGGCGTCCCGCCCAAGCGCGGCCTCCCGCGGGGAGCAGCCGCCCGCAGGTAACGGGCGGGTGGGGGCGGGGCGGGACGGGACGGGACGGGAGGGGCAGGCCGACCGACTGACCTGTGTGTGGTCTCCTGAGGGACGACGAGGCCGGCACCGGCTCCGTGACCGAGCGCTGCCGGTGGGGCCGCCGGCCCGTGTCCTGCCGCCGCCCTCTGCGGGCGCCGGGGAGTGCGAGCAGCCGGGCGGCGCCGGGGGCGGGGGGAGCTGCGCCCCGCTTTGCTGAGCGTCGCCCCCCGTTCCCGGGGCGGTGCCGCAGTGCCTCGCCGAGCAGCCCCGGCGCCGGGCCGAGCTGGCTCTCGGTTCAGCTTTACCGGAGAGGCCATCTCGTGGCGCCCGCACCGGCCGCGGGAACGCGGCGCTGCCGTCCCCTTGTTTCGGGAGTTTGGGCGTCTTGTCCCGCAAAGCCTGAGCAAGGTGTGCGTCGGGCAGGCCATGCTCCACTGTGCTTTATAATTTCGCGTGTCCAAAGAGGCAGAGAAACTGGGAATTTCAGTGCGAAAATGGGGAGCACGAGACTGGGGAGTCCAAATAAGGCACCGGGCTCGTGGCATTAAAAAAAAAAAAAAAAAAAGGCAGGATTCATTTACCTAAGATGCTTCGTGCACTAGGCCACAGAAATGCTGGCTGTGTGCCCAGGTTCCTTGGATTCTGCAAATGGAGGTTTCCTGAAGTTTTAGAGCCATGCCCACATAAAGTGACTAAACTTGATTGCCCGTGGGGATGGGCCACACCATATGGAAGTCTGCTTAAGTTTGTCTTATGTGGACTAGGAGCAGTAAAAATGGTAATCTGCCTGCTTTCTTGTCCCTTGATAGTTTACATCTTGACTGTCTAGTTTGTATGAGTTGGTGGCTGATTGTTAACCTGTAAATCTTGCGAGGGAAACTCCCCTTTTTTCCACATTTGAGTAGTAAGGTGACTTGGTATGTTAAATTTTGTCTTCCGTGATCTGAATTAACTTCTTTTAATGGTGTGCTTTTATTGCTAGTAAAATATTCCACTTTTACATTGTATTAAGCATTTTTAAGGTAAAAACCACAATGCCAGTGAATCACTTGTAAGAAAACTGCTATAATCCAGCACAACACATGAACAATTATCTCTGTGTAAGAGTACAGGCAGTGCTGTGGTGTAGATGATGTAGCAAGCTTCCTAGAAGCAAAAAGCTCATCTTTCTGCCCATGAGCGTAGCAAACCCTCAGCTCAAAGGAGCAGAATATGCTTCTGAGTTACGTTTTGAAAACAAGCATCATTTTCCTGGTGACTTGCGTATGACTGAATTGCAGACTCCTGACTTGATGGACAGAAATCGCTTTATTGCCCGTGATCCAGGGGTTTTATCTCATTCACTTTCAGCTGGGAGTGGTTAAGCAAATTAAGACAGAAGACAGCTGCAAGTCACACATCCATCACTCTCTCAGACCGGCTCATCATGCACACCACAGACACAGACCTCGGAGTTTCAAGTTACTGTTTTCATACGATTCACATGGTAAATCATAAACCAGAGTTTAGCTCTCCCTGAGCAGTAAATTATGGCTTAGAGAAAACAACACAAAGTCATCTGAACATTCTTCAGGCCTTGCTCACGCTTGACTGCTACACTTGCACTTGGGTTGGTCTCAGCCGGTATAATCATGCCCTTCAGAGACTTCATTGTTTAAGTAAAAATTTAGGTTTTCAGTGAATAAAAACATCATGAAGTGAATTCTAATTGATACTGCTGTGTGTTAGTTGAATGAAAATGTTGGTTGTATGTGTAATGACTAATACAATGTTCTTACTTCATAATTATATTGATGCAAGCAGATTTGCTGACTTACAGTGGAAGAGTTGACGTAAAAGGGGAAGTCTGAAGGATGTTTATGATGCTTTCACACACAGAATCACAGAATGGGTCAGGTTGGAAGGGACCACAGTGGATTATCTGGTCCAACCAACCTGCTCAAGCATGGTCATCCTAGAGCACGTGGCACAGGATTGTGTCCAGATGGTTCTTGAATATCTCCAATGAGGGAGAATCCACAGCCTCTCTGGGCAGTCTGCTCCAGTGCTTGGTCGCTAGCACAGTAAAGAAGTTTTTCCTCATGTTCATATGGAACTTCCTGTGCATCCATTTCTGCCCATTGGCTTTTGTCCTGTTGCTGAGCACCACTGAGAAGAGCCTGGCTCCATCCTCTTGACACCTCCCTTCAGATACTTGTGAACATTGATGAGGTTTCCTCTCAGTCATCTCTTCTTAAAGGGTGAAAAGACGCAGTCCCCTCAGCCTCTACTCATTTGAGGGATACCCCAGTCCCTTGAACAGCTCTATAACCCTCTGCTGGACCCACTCCAGGAACTCCATGACTCTCTTGTACTGGGGAGCCCAGAATTTCATTGGCAACAGTTGAATGATTTTTTTTTTCTTAAGTCTTAGTAGGGCTTTCAATATTCCAGTAGTGTAATACTTACCTCAGTGCTGAGTGTGTAATGGGGAAATGCCCAGTCATCCTCACATTCTGTTGTAGGACACCATTTTCCTTAGACAAGCCAGACAACCTAGCAGGCGTTTCCTACAGCTGAGCATCTAATGCGTCTGCAGTGATAGGGCTGTGAATCCTCAGTGAAGCTAGGCACTTGCTGATGGGAAATCTCAGTCTGTATTTTAGTATCTTGCAAGAGGAGGTCTCTGGTCAAGACTACAGTATTAGAAGCAGATTTGGATGCTGTGGTAGCAATTCAGGTGCTTTTTGCACATTGGAAGCCAGATTTCCAAGGACATGTGTAGTTCATTTGTGCAGCTGACTTCCTGTTATATGTAATAATCATGGTGGTCTTGATTTGTTCTTTTATGGTTCAGGTTACTGACAGTCATAGCCACTGTCTGTCCAGCTGAAAACAAAAATTAGATGGTAGAAAGTTATGTGTTTAGATATCATCTATTATAATGACTTCTCATCTATAATAAAAGTGAAGAATAGTTGTAAAATAGATAAAACTATATTTAGCTTCTACTATTACATCATCTTTTTTTTAGTGTCCATTCTGTGCAACTTGCTGTGGTTTTTTTAAGATGGTGATCTGAGTCTGCCCCTCCTCTCCATACAGCTTGTGGAGATTTTTATCATGAACAGATTTTTATCATAAACAATGCTTTTAAAAGCTCCATAGAAGAGCGTCAAACCTTTGAGTCCTAAGAAAATAAAATCCTGTCATAAATAGAAGCTGTAAAAATGCTCTAAATACTATGTGTAGTGTTCATTCTTATGAAATGATTTATGTTCATTTCACTAAATATTTTTTAAAAATTATAGCTTTAAATTTTATCCCTGGTCATTGTACTCCCTTCACTTGTAAATTAATTCCTTTTTGAATTTAGGATCTTTTGTGAACTTCTGGTAGAACCTTCTGCATAGAATTGCCATTTCATGCATTAATTTAAGCTCGTTTGTAGTAACTTTAAGTAAGTACTGTCAAGGTACAGGAGGGGCATTACGAGAGTAATGTATGTCCTGTGTTTCTTTTGGAGGGATTGATAAAAGCAAGTGAAGGCAAGCACATGCAAGCATTTCCATATACACTGCATGGCTTCTGCCGCTTAGGAGAAGGCTGGGCAAATAGCAGGCAGAACATTTCTTCAGCACTTTACTGCTTGGTGTGTACCAGTCGGCCAAGCTCCCCATCAAAGCTAACTGACAGGCAGTCTACTTTCCAGCAGTCTAACTAGAGCAGGAATGGGCTGTTTAGTGCCTGGCCTGCCAGAAGTGCACACAGAAGGGGTGGGGTGCATGCTAACCCAGGTGTGCTACCTCAAAGGAGAACATGGCAGAGGGCAGAGCCCCTGCTCTCTGTTGCAGTTTGTGTGGTTTCTAGAGGGTCTCTCCTGGCCGCTCTGTGAAGGTTTCCAGGGCTGAGATCACCCCCCCCACCCCCCGCCACCCATCCCTCATGGCAGGGACAGGCGGCAGAGGCACCTATGCCAGGAGACAGACACCACACAGCACGCAGGGAGTCCAGCAGCAAAGAGAGTTTATTCAAATCTCCCCCCAGCTTATAAGGGCTGGTGGGGAAAAGAGGGGATTGGCCATTTGGCTAGCCAATGCAGGGAGACAATATAATAACTATGGCAACACAGGAACCAATGATAGGCAAGAAAGTTAACAACTTCAAACCCCTGCAGCTCTCTGACAGCCATTTTCCACTTCTTGCCATGGCAGGTGCTTTGTGCTCCTGTAGCCTGTGCTGAGGTCTGACCTCTTCCTGCCTATGGTTCTGGGCAGTGCTTCTGGCTGTCTTCTAGCCCCCAGATGGCTGTGCTCTGCTTTAGTATAGACCAATTTTGTTTGATTCAGAACAGACAAAAGTGAGGATCTAAATGATTAGAGGACCATTTGTCATGGTATTAAGCCCAGCCAGGCACCAAGCCCCAAACAGCTGCTTGCTCACTCACCCACCAGAGGGAATGTGGAGAGAATCAGAAGGGTGAAAGTGAGAAAACTCATGGATTGAGATGAAGTCAGTTTAGTAGAGAAAGCAAAAGCTGTTCAGAACAAGGAATTAATTCACTGCTTCCCATGGGCAGGTAGGTTTTCAGCCATCTCTAGGAGAGCAGGGCCCAGTCACATGTAATGTTTACTTGGGAAGGCAAACATTATCACTCCAAATGTGTCCCTCCACCTTCCTCCTTCTTCCCCCCACTTTATATACTGAGCATAATGTCATATGGTATGGAATATCCCTTTGGTCTTTTGGGGTCAGCTGTCCCGGCTGTGTCTCCTCACAACCTCCCATGCACCCCCAGCTGTCTTGCCAGTGTGGCAATATGAGAAGCAGAAAAGGCCTTGGGTTTGTGTAAGCACTGCTCAGCACAAAGGAAAACATCTCTGTCACATCACTGTGATGTTCAGCACAAATCCAAAACCCAGCCCCTTGCTACCACTGTGAAGAAATTTAGCTCTACCCCAACTAAAACTAGCATATTCTACCCCATATCCATAATACCATTTACCTC